AAGGAGAGACATTAGCTGAACAGAAGATTTCAAAGGTAAGCTTGAGAACACAAAGTCAAATATTACAATGAAATGTGCAAAGAGTTGGAGTTAGAAAACCAAAAAGAAAGAACACACTCAACATTTCTCAAGCTGAGGGAACTGAAGAAAAAAATCAAGCCTTGAATTGCCGTACTGAAGGATTCTCTGGGCAAATTATTAAAAGATGCAGAAAGCATCTAAAGAAGATGGAAGGAATACATAGACTCTCTATACCATAAAGAAATGGTCAGTGTTGTACTATTTCAATAGGTAGCATATGATCAAGAGCCAGTGGTACTAAAGGAAGAAGTCCAGGGTGAATTGAAGGCGTTGGCCAAGAACAAGGCACTGGTAATTCATGGAATACAAATTGAAATATTTCAACAAACTGATGGGACACTGGATGCACTTACTCCTCTATGTCAAGATATTTGGATGACAACTACCTGGCCAACTGACTGGAAAAGCTCTGTATTTGTATCCATTCCAAAGAGAGGTGACCCAACGGAATGCAGAAATCATTGAACAATCTCTTTGATATCCCATGTGAGTAAAGTTTTACTAAAGGTAATTAAAAACGGCTACAAACATGCATTGACAGACAACTTCCAGGGGTTCAAGCTGGTTTCAGAAGAGGACGTGGAATGACGGATATCATTGCTGACGTCAGATGGATCTTGGCTGAAAGCAGAGAATTCCAGAAAGATGTTTACTTACGCTTTATTGACTAGCCAGAGGCTTTCAATTGTGTGGATCATGACAAGCTGTGGGCAACATTGTGAAATATGAATATTCTGGAACACTTAATTGTGCTCGTGGGGAACCTGTACATAGACCATGAGGCAGTTGTTCCAGCAGAACAAGAGAATACCGAATGACTTAAAATTAGGAAAAGTGTCCGCCAGGGTTGTATTTGTTCACCATATTTATTCAGTCTGTATGTTGAGCAACTAATCTGAGAAGCTTGAGTATATGAAGTAAAATGTGGCATCCCAATTAGAAGAAGACTTAGTAACAATCTGCGATATGCAGATGATAGAATCTGCTTACTGAAAGTGAAGAAGACTTAAAATACTCAATGATGAAGATCAAAGACCACAGCTTTCAGTATGGATTACATCTCAATGTAAAAAAATCAAAACAGAAATCCTCACCACTGGACTAATAAACAACATCCATATTAATAGAGAAAAGATTGAAGTTGTCAAGGACTTCATTCTTCTTGGATCAACCGTCAACACTCATGGAAGCAGCAGTCAAAAAATCAAACAATGTATTGCATTAGGCAAATCTGCTGCACAAGACCTTTTTAAGGTATCAAAGAGCAAAGATGTCAGTTTGAGGACTAACTGACCCAAGCTATGGCATTTTCAATAACTTCATATGTATGTGAAAGCTGGACAGTGAATAAAGAAGACGGTAGAAGAATTGATGTATTTGAATTACGGTGTTGGAGGAGAATATTAAAAGTACCATGGACTGCCAAAAGAATAAATCTGTTTTAGAAGAAGTGCAGCCAGAGTGCTCCTTAGAAGTCAGGATGGCCAAACTTCGTCTCTCATACTTCAGAGAGGACCAGTTGCTGGAGAAAGGATATCATGTTTGGTAAGGTGGAGGGTCAGAGAAAAAGAGGAAGACCCCCAACGAGATGGATTGGCAAAGTGGCAGCTTCAGTGGGCTCAAGCGTGGCAACAATTATGAGGTTGGCCTAGGACCGGGCAGTGTTTCCTTCTGTTATGCATAGGGTCGCTATGAGTCATTACCAACTCAGTGACACCTAACAACAACAACAAGCTGTAGTTGCCAGAATTCTATTGTTCTAGATGTAAGGCACCCTGATAGTGTAGTGTGTACGCATTGGGCCATTAACTGCAAGATCAGTTGGATTCCAACTGCTCCTCTGTGGGATAAAGAGGAAAGTTTCTGCTACCATAAAGATTTACAGCCTCAGAAAGCCTGTACAGAGTTGCTGAGTCTGAACTGATTCCACAGCACACAACAGCAGCAGATATATCTTTTTCTGAGTTTAGTTAGTGCCTGGCTTTGGGCTTTCAGAAGTCCATGCACAGGTCTGCAAGGGTGTCTGGGACTAGGAGTTCAAACAATAGCACCACAGCTCAGCCTGGCTCTAAAGCTCAAGTGTGCACTGTCTATGGTGGGCCAGATGCCTGCTGTGGTCCCAGAACATGCCCTTCATCTTAGCAGTCCTGGTAGAGAAGCTATATGGAGATAGCACCCGTATCATCCCTGAATAGGCCAGGAGACAGAGGCCCTCTGTTTGTCCAGGGCGGTGGTCAAGTAGAAATCAGCCTTTATTAACTAAACCACGTAGACTGGGTACTTTTGTGACCAAAAGAAAAGGAAAAAGGTTGCCTTGGCAGGCAGTATGTATTGATGACAACAGGTGCCTCAAATCAGCCTCTTGCACTGTTGTGTTAGCTTGCTTTGTCTCTGCCTGGAAGGATGAGTAACTTAGTAGGGTCAGTGGAGTCCTCTCCAGTCCTTTATGCTGACATTTGAAATAACAAACATTGGACTGATAGGGACAGCTGGAGGGACTTGGAAGATCATTTTCTAGACTAGTGACCTTGCTCCTCTCCTCCCTCCTTATTTGTATCCCACAAAAAGAGTAAGTCTTAAACTTGTGGTGGTGGCGATATGCTGTAGAGTCCGTTCTGACTCATAGCGACCCTGTATAGGGCTTCCAAGGCTATACATTTTATGAGAGCAGAAAGCCTCATCTTTCTACTTTGGAGCAGCTGGTAAGTTTGAACTGCTGACCTTATACTTGGCAGCCTGTTAAAACAAACAAAAATAAACCATTACTGTGGCTAGGTTGAATGCACTTAACCATATGAAGAATTCAGCATAATTTTTATTATATTCTTACATTGAAGTATTTTCACTGAAGCAGTGAAACTCTTTATCACAAACTTGCGATAGTAAGCCTCTATATTGCTGTCCTGGTGTGGCGCTGTATATTAATGCACTGAACTGCAAGGTTGGTTTTAACTGCAAGGTCAATGGTTCAAGCTCCCCAGCTGCTCCTTGGAAACCCTATGGTGGTGGTGTTATGTGCCGTGGAGTTGGTTCCGACTCATAGCGACCCTGTACAGGGTTTCCGAGACTGTAAATCTTTACGGGAGCAGAAAGCCTCATTTTTCTCCTGCAGAACAGCTGGTAGTTTCGAACTGCTGACCTTAAGGTTTGCAGCTCGATTCGTAACCACTGCACTACCAGAGCTCCTTACAGAGTCATTATGAGTCTGAGCCTCCTGGATGGCACTTACCAACAACAATAAGCAGTCTAAATCCAAAGGCAGGGCCTTTGGAGTCACATAGCCCTGAGTTTGATTTGTATCTATTACTGCTTGAGTGGGCCTCACACAGCTGAATGGTTCAGAGTCTCAACTCTCTAATCTGTACCAGGAGGATAATAAATACCTACTTCACGGGATGAGTTTGAGCATTATGCCAAGTTTAAAGAGCCTAGCATGATTCGTGGCAAGCACTCAGACACTTTAGGTGGTTTGATCTTATCATCACTGACTTTGAAAGGGTTCCCCTCCTTATTTAGGAGGTGTATACAGGCTAGTGGAGCCCTGGGTTAATGCACTAGACTGCACAGTTGTTTGAACTGATAGGTCAGCAGTTCAAGCTCATCAGCCACTCCTTGGAAACCCTGTACAGGGTCACTATGAGTCAGAACCGACAACAACAACATAAACTGGTAGCACATGGAGAAGGAATTCTAAAACTAACCAGGTTGTATGCAGGCACTAATGGTATGTGTGTATTTGGGGGGGGGGGGGGAGACCTACATAATTGGGGTTGCTCCACGTATAAGAAGCAGATGGTTGCTCTGAGCTACATGAAGGAGTGCTGTCTTTCAGTTGTGCCAGATAGTACTTTATCCAAGCTGAGTTCTGGAGTAATCTAGGGGTTAGCAGAGGTGCCTGGAGACTGGGTGGTTTCTGGGGGACAGTGTTCCCTCTGTCTGCCTCTGGTGATGGAAATGGTCTTCTGGAGGAGCATGGGGATGGGGAAGAGCTGCTGCAGCTGTGAGCCCCAAACTGAGCTGCTCTTCTGGTTGTCTTTGCCACACGATGTAACTTTTCCACTTGCAAGGGTTATTGGTACACTTGGCAGTCTCTTGTCTGGTAAGCAATATGGTGAGGCCTCCATAAATCCAATCCCATGAAATGAATACGTCAGCACACTGGAAACATAGCATGGAAGTGACTCAAGCCTGAAGGAATCCATTTCTAAAAGTGCTGCTATCCCTTCTTGGAATATTTTGGTGGAAAGTCATGTTTGAGTTGGGAGGAGGAAACCAGAAAGCTGGTTACTAGCAGGGTGATGGGTCAAAATCAGCACCATTTTTACCCTGGGATTCAGCCCTTCCTGTCCCAAACCATGGGGCCAGCGGCTGGACAGCAGCAGGAGACCGGCGCCAGGAGAAGCTAATCTGAAGCCACCTTTGCAGCAGATAGGGCTGACTGTGAGTCAGCCTGGTAATGCTTGGCCAGGTGCCTGGAAAGTATTGGAAACTCCACCCAGCATGGGAGCGGGTTACCCTTCTTGGAGTTCTTTGGATTCCTACGCACGAATTGTTTACCTTCTTCTCAGGACTTTAACTTGTACTTTTCTCGCCAGAGAGAGACCAAGACCAAGCATACACATACTTAAATTTCCTAGACCACCCTGGTGACCAGATAATTAAAGTTACACACAGTATTGGGAGGAAGACTGTGTTGGAAATCATGCACTACTGTAATTCAAGAACAGGTTTCTTTATAGACGATGCAGTTGGTGTCAGGCACATGTGAAAAAGTAAAGACGAGGTCCATGATCTTGGCAAGGTGCCAAGGACCAGATGTTAAATATACTGACCTAATATGGCTGCAGTGACAGTTAGTCAACCTGAACATAGTGTGTTATTGTAACCCCTGTTTCTGTCTTTTCCTTTCTTTCTGCCAGGTCCCCAGCCTGTGTGAAGATCTCCTATCTTCTGTTGACCAGCCCCTGAAAATCGCCAGAGACAAGGTGGTGGGAAAGGATTACCTTTTGTGTGACTACAACAGAGATGGGGACTCCTATAGGTAAGTGAGCTCATGCCCCAGTAATGCAGCCAGCATGCCAGACCCTCCATCCTTTCTGTTTGTCTCCGTTTCCTTCTTTCCTCTCATCCATCCATCCATCCATCTTGTCAACCAGCAGACATTTGTCGAGTGACTCCATTAAGCACTGGAGATGCAACAGTGAATAAAGCACCCCTGCTCTGTGGTCTTACAGCCCAATTTATTATAATTGCACTAATTATAATTGCTTAACTATAATTAGATTAAGTGGTACTGAGCCAAGGTACCATGGTGCCAGGAGATTATATAATGGGACTCTTGGTCCTAAAAGCAGGGAGGGCCTCTGTGATCGGGGGATATTTGAACACAGCTCTCTCAACAAATATGCAATTCTCCTTTCACTTCTGTTACTGTGCTAACGGCCAGAGATGTGGAACTAAAGAAAACGACATTAGTCCTGCCCTCAGTGATCATGTGTTCTAGAATAGGAGACCCACGCAACAGCTGGTTACTGTGTGGTATGATTCTGGCAGCCAGTGCACATCTTATTCAGGGTAGGAAGGTATGCACACCTTAGAATGGTCAACCATTTGAGATCAGAAGGGCAAGGGCAGCAGTTACCTAAGGACTAAGAGTTCAGAAGGGTTAGGAAAGAAGGAGGAATGGAAACAGGGAGGAAGTGGGATAAGTGATGCTGTATTGTAGGGATTGCAGTCAATGAGCTGAAACAATTGTATGTTGTATGTATGTACATACATTGTATGTATGAAACAAGTGTATGAATTGTAGAATGGAAAACTGATTTGCTCTGTAAACCTTTACCAACTTCACAATGCAAAGTTACAGTTAAAAAATGAATAATCTTGTTTGGGATCTGGAACTGCTACACATGAGGTCCTAATTGACTCGAGGAGGGTGCCCTGAAGGGAGGTAATGTCTGACCCAGGTGGTGGTGGAGACTATCAATCTATCTTTACGGGATGATAAAGCCTCATCTTTATCCCATGGAACTGCCGGTAGTTTTGAATTGCTGACTTTGAGGTTAGCAGCCCGACTCGTAACCACTACGCTATCAGAACTCTCCTTGGTGTTTGTATAATGGATTGCCTTACCTTGTGTCAGTGCCTTAGAGAACAGTGTAGGAATCCATTCGGCTTTAGATTTATTTACTTAGAACCTGAACTGAGTCTCAAAGCTTGAACCTAAAACTCTCTTTAGTGGGTGGGTATGAGAAGGGGAAGCGGAAAAAATATCTGTAGTCAGCATACCTGGGCTCCAAACCAATACTGTCCCCTACTAGCATCAGGGCTTTAGACACATGATTTACTATCTCATCAGTAAAATAGAAAGAATCGTTTTCATTCATTCAACAGAATGCTGCTCTCTGTAGCTGTTTTCTATAAGCATGTGCTTGCACTGTTCTACATCTCTTTTCATGGAGTTTGTGTCCTAGTGAGAAAGCCAGGCACAGTTTTCAGATGATGGGAAATATTAAGGACAATAAAAAGGACAAGAGGAGGAGAGATGATGAGAAGTCTCTCTCTTAAGTCTCCATGTTTGAAAAGAAACTCAAGGATGAGTCCTGAACAGTCTGCAGTAAGAGCATCTCAGGTGGGAGGGCCTGGATGGAGATGAGCTTGTGGAGATCCAGCCCAGCTGGGAGGCCAGAGGGTGGTGGTAAGGTCAGAGGTATGACGGGAGTCTTGAAGGCCAGACTTAAGGGTAGCAGAACTTACTGCAGCGTTGTTAGGGAAATTAGAAGAACCTGTGACATGCTGATTAGCACAGAACTTGACATGTAAATAGTAACGATATGATGTTGTGATGTTCCGTGGAGTCGATTCCGACTCATAGCGACCCTCTACAGGGTTTCCGAGGCTGCAAATATTTACAGGAGCAGAAAGCCTCATCTTTCTCCCGTGGAACAGCTGGTAGTTTCGAACTGCTGACCCTGAGGTTCACAGCCCGATTCGTAAACACTACGCTACCAGAGCTCCTTGGTAACGATATAGTACTGACATTTTAAGAAACTTAAATCCTGATGGTGCAGATAGTTAAACCCTTGGCTGCTGACCAAAAGGTCGGCAGTTTGCACGTACCCAGTGACTCCACAGGAGAAAGCACAGCAATCTGCTTCTATAAAGATTACAGCCAAGAAAACACTGTGGAGCATTCCACTCGAAATACACTCAGCGACACTTAACAACAGTAAGTGCCTTGTAATCGTGCCCCTTTGCAAGTTTCAAATGGAACCCAGGTGAGAAGTGGTCAGATTTGAGGTTAATTGCAAAGACAACGCCAACAAGCAGCATTTGCAGGTGGAATAGGTATGGAAGATTAAGATTGTTGGTTTTTGAAAGGCACTTGTTTGGCCTGAGCAGCTGGAAAGGTGAGAGTTGTTTTAAGTTTGCGATGCCCACTAGGTGGAAGTAGAGGTATCAGGTAGGCTGTGGCTGTGGCTGTCTGGTCTGCAATTCTAAGATCCTGAATTGGAGTTATAAATATGGTGATACAGCCCTGAGAGCCAGCCAGGTCACGTGGCCCAAAGGAGCACTGCTGAAGAAGGAGGTGAGGAGTTCGCAGAGACACTTGAAGGAGCACTGTGAGGTGGAAGGAAATGTGAGATCTTGGTACCCTGGAGGTAGGCCATTCCAAAGTAAGAAATGAAGGTCGAAATTGATCAAGACACCAAGATCACACTTCTGACACCACATGCAGTTCTGACCGCTTCCTCACCGGCCAACTGCAGTTTGTCTGAGTGGACACTGCCTTTCCTGCTAGGGTCACTCTTGGCCCACATGTCCTGGCTGGATGTTGTTGTTGTCAAGTGCCGTCGAGTCAATTCCGACCCATAGCGACCCTGTATAGGGTTTCCAAGGAGCAGCTGGTGAGCTTGAACCGCCAACCTTGCAGTTCAAGTGGCTTTGCAGTCTGGCACATTATCCCACAGCATCATAGCAACTGTTAACGCCTGTTTGAGCTCCTCTTTGGGTCCACCCTCTCTCTGCTCTGATGAGTTTCATTGTGAAGACAGATGCTGTTCCAGAGAGTCTTTGGACCCTGCAGTCTACAGAGAGCCCTCTGGTCTAATGGAGGACCCTAAACAGCTGTGGGATAGAGGGTTCCCCCGCCCCCGCAAGCCCCAGAGCTTGTGAGGGTGTATGCTAAGGGATATGGCAGGCTATAGTGTCCGTCTGTATTTTTGTTTGTTTTTAGAGTAGCAGCTTGCTGCCTAGTCTGGAAAATTGTCAAGGCTGACACAAGAGAGGACCTCAAAAAGTTCATGTAAAAATTCCATGGTCCTTTTTTTTTTTTTTTTTTTTTCAAACATTGAGTTGATTTTAATCAATGAGATGAAACAAAATTATTGAATGAGAAACTGATGATTGGCTCTGTAAATCATTACCCAGTACACAATAAAA